TTATGTCATATGTGCGTATAGCGTGAAGCTAATCTTTTCTACCCCTTTTAGTCTTAGTTAGGTATTATAGCGTATAATAGAAATAAAACTACTTTTTATACTTAATTTAAACCCCTACTATAAAAGTAAACTACCACTTTAATAAAAGTAAACCACCACTTTAAACCTATTTACGGGTATACACAAGGTTAGTTTACACCTATATAGTAAACCCCTAGCGTACCATTCTACAGTAAACAATTTTTTACCGTAGTGGAGGTACTACATGGCGTGGACATGCCGGGTCAAAATCTGAAATTATATCACATGATGAAGGTGCATGTAATGCAAGAAGTCACAGAGCTTTAAGAGAATCCATGTTCAAGGTCAAGTGTTCGCATGAATGGACCTGTCAGATTGTATGACTAGCATAAATTTGTCAGCTTTTGGTGCAAACATTAGTTCACTTGGTAACTTGCATCAATGTCTGCTATGTTGCCAAATCATAGGGGAACAATTCCGAGTCTCATTTTCTACTTTTAAGTTCGACTTCTCGTATGGTAGTCTGCCCATTGTACAGCTCCCTTATGTCTCACGTTTGATAGACTAGTACCAACAGGCCAATCCTGGTGATACTTGGGAGTGCACAAAGGTTTGTGTAGGTCGATAGGTATGTCGGGATTAGGTACATAGAGCCAAACCTGCCTCGAGGGCTTTAAAGATGTAACTTTGTTTCAAAGCCATTGGGCTCACGGAAAGATTTGTTGGGCAAGTGGCAATATAACACTAAAGATTGTGTCGCAATCCGCTTACGAACCAATATCTGGGAGAAGGACAGACGCGGAACCGGGAGCCGTGTTGCGCAATTATCGCCCAAGTTTTGTATTCTTTTGCGGAAATTTTCGAGGTATGACTAGCATATCGCTATCCAGGTACAAGGTTGTGTCCCAAACATCGTGCTCTTTGCATCTTCATATTGCACTAGTCCTATCTTCGAAATGCATCTTCTTCACTGCCCGCCTTCCGACATTTGCTTTCTTAATTGTTAGCTCTAAAGCTTCGACAGTCTAATCCGATAGTGCGTAATTCACTCCTGTTGCTACGCAACTTAAGATTCTATTGTCGGAATTCCTAACACCAGGAGTGATCAACTTGGAGAGAGCTTTCGACAACGGAATAGGCCGCCAGCGTTTTGTCGAAACTAAGGATACATACAGGGCAACCGGATCAAAACGTTGCTGCCCAAGTTCACTAGAAACTTAGCCGTGAGTTGGTTCTTGGGTTACAAGGCCCTCTCCCCGAAAATTTTGTCAAGTTCAAGGGGTGTCAACGGCAGCCTGTTGCTCTATGCTTTCTTTTGTGAATGGATTTGTCCACTCACCAGGTCCCTCCAATCTGTATGCAAACTGACCCATTAGGTGTGAACCCTATGTGCGCTATCACAACCCAGGAACCTCAATTTTGCAGTCTATGAAGGCATGAAGTCAAGCCCTGGATATGCTCAAAATTGCTAGGAAGCGGCCAATGGTATCCAACGCATTAGTTGGAATTCTGGCCTTCGAAATAGCTAACAGTCCGTTTAGGGGATGTGATAACCTATGGTCTAGATCAAAAAGTATAGGTTTGACCTGTTGCAACTCATCCTTCCCTGATGACTAGCTTATTGTTATTGTCCCTGTTCCGAAGATATCTCTTTACTTTCGGATACATTGCTCCTAGTTACTCTTCATCCTTGACTCCTTCCCTTTAGATTAGTACCATTTTCATGTCTTCCCTGTATCAAAGATGAGTGTAGCTGAACCCCCCCTCCCCCAAGCCTAACTTTCCCATTTCAAAGATACCATCCCAACCTCCAGCTGAGTAGACCCACATCCATCAAGGAGCTTACTTTCCTTGACGAAGCTGAGAGCCTCGCCATCCTTGACATGTTACTCTATCTTGGTACAGTTGACAGTGCACCCATTACGATCCCAAATCATATAAGTATCGGTACAGTCTGCCTCTTTGCATCTTTTCCTCACCACACTTCAATCATCTCACTTCCAATACATCATTCCATTCAGCTTCATCTTCCCCAATCAATACCCCAAAGTCAACCCAATCATCACCATGCAGTTCTCCATCGTTCTTGCCATCCTTGTCGGCATTGCTGCCGCTGCACCATCCAACCCTCCCATCAAAACACAGGGTCAATTTGAAATATGCGGGCAGGCTCGAGCCCTGTGTGACGCCGATTGCAGTTTCATCCCAAACTGTACTCCCGCTTTCATAAACCGATGTATCTGTGTAAGTTGACCTCGCCAAATGGTTCCACGTTCTCGATTTACCATTGAATATATCGCTGACTTTTGTGCTCTAAATGTAGAGCGTAAGTATTGCCCGACAGAGAACTTTCCCCCCTTTGGTTCTGTATAAGTGTGTTGCTAATCATATCTGTAACTGGCCTGTAGCGAGTAAGTTGAAACCATATCCACGAACATGATAATACCATTTAGATGCTGTTGAAAATGTTTCTAATCTTAATTAAACTCTGATCATAGGAACCAGTAAGTGTATCCATCCAATTGAGCCGTTAGATCATTGCTAATATATTCTCTTTTCTTATTACAGTCTGTAAGTACACAATCCCAAAGAACCAGTGTTGTTGCTACCTGCTTTCTATGAGATACATCGTTAACCTAGTCTAACACTACTACAGTGCGGCGTAAGTTAAATCCTCCCAGCTACGTTCTATTGGCTTTTTGTAGTTGGACGCATGACTAATCAAGCATGATGGGCTGCCTTTAGTGCCCGGTGAGTTTTCCACGAGTGCCCCTATTACTTTCCGCATTGCTCACAGAATTTATAGTAAAGGGAATACTGAAAACACTTCCGACAATCTTGGACCAACAATCTAGCATGCTACAGATCGTTGTATGGAGTTCTCTTGAAAAGGAAGAGTTTAAGCTCGGCCGACTGTGGCATGTCTCAGAAGGAAATCAGGATCAGGCGATGGTTACGTTTGTTCTTGGGAGCTTGGATATTCTATAAAGTGACTTTCATAGGATGAATATGTATTTGAGGTTTGGGTTTTACTTTTGCTCGCTTGCTTTTATGATCGACGCGTGAAGTAAAATGCGCCAGTGAGATGTACCCGGAAAACAACAGGAAAAATCACATTACTAGCACTTGTTTGCTGCTGCTCAAGAGTTGATTACAACAAAGACTTTAGAAAAGAAAACTTGGCTTTATAAAGTTTTAATAAGCACTTTGTCATTATTGCTAACGACAACACCCTCAGGACAACTAATCATTTGCAATAAGGACATATCTTCAGGTCAAGAGTTATAGCATGTGGCCTTTAGCGTTTAAAGGGGTTTAAACTATATAACAAGAAAATACCTAAAATAAAATAAGTTAAGTTTCTTAGACTCTGCGATGTATATTAAATAGCGTATATTCTTACACAGGCCTTTGCAATAGTTATAATCTTACAACTATACTATTATACATTTCTCTATTTTAAAAAAGATTAGCTAAAATATAAGAGACATAATACTTTTTTTTCACATACAGTTTTAAAGTGATGCTAGTGCCTGCTACCTTGTCTAGTTAGCATTGAAAACTACAAAATTCTCTACTGTCACACGATCTTGGGCAGGTGATCATGTAGCAAAAAAAACAAAAACATACAACAGCGGGGATTCGCTAGTGGTCACCCACCTAACTACTAATCCGCCGGTACACTGCTTATATATGGCTGAGCGGACGGGAAGCCTAGTTTTCAGTGTCCTATGGTCGTATGTGAAAGATTGGGTTCGTTGTTATGTACATATCCTTAGATACGTTCTGAAGTAATGAAGATTTTCCGCGGTACCGTACGTGCACAAGCATTTAATTAGGAATGAACTCACACTGCTAGTAAAATCATATAAGAAGACATAGATCCTACTCACATTGTATTGCTCTCGCCTATCTTATGGAATCTTTATCGCGACTTGAGCGCATGCATGTGGAGCGGAGGGTACAGATCATGTGACGATGGTGCATCGAAGGATTCCAGGCCGGGGGGTGTGATGTCACATCTACCGGTACCCCGGTCTTGGCACTCCCGCGGAGCTCGCATGCTGATCAAACAATCCATCGCCCACCGAAATCACACCACAACGAGCATGTCTCGAATACGACCGGGTTGGCACGCATTTCGCCCGCCTGTACGAATCAATCGAACGCTTACCTCCTTCCACCGCCATGTACAAACGCGCTCCTACCAACAACTCCCCTTTGGACGCGGCCCGCAATACAAGCGCTTCGCCTCGACTGGCGGCATCGCGGGCTTCTTGATGCGCTGGGCCGGGCGACCCACTTTCTACCGCGATGTTGGCCTCATAACAGCAGGGACGGCTGGAGTCTACGTCTACAACCTCGAGGAGGTGCCTGTGTCTGGAAGGCGCCGATTCAACATGATATCGCCCATGATGGAGGAGATGCTGGGCAAGTCCACAGTAGAGCAGGTGAGGCAGCAATATCGAGGCCGAATTCTTCCGGATAGCGATCCCAGAGTGCGACTAGTCAAGCGGGTGTTGGCAAGGTTGCTGCCTTATGCAGAGGGCGAAGGCTTGAAGAATCTGGATTGGGAGGTCGCTGTGATTGATAGTCCTGAGCAGAATGCGTTTGTTGCACCGGGCGGCAAGGTCTTTGTCTTCACGGGCATTCTTCCCATGTGCAGGGACGAGGATGGGATTGCGGCAGTGCTGGGGCATGAGATTGCCCATGTTGTCGCACATCATACCGCGTCTGTGTTTTCTCGCCATGTGCCTCTTGTTTTCCCTCGCTGACTTGCAGTATAGCGAACGGATTTCGCAAGCCCCTCTCGTATTACTCGCTGTCCTCTTCCTCTCCCTCTTCGACATATCGTTTTACACTGGTAAAATAGTCATCGACCTCTTTCTGTCCATGCCCGCCTCTCGCAAGCACGAGGGCGAAGCGGATTACATTGGACTGATGATGATGGCTCAAGGATGTTTCCGGCCAGAAGCCGCCATGCAGTTCTGGGCGCGCATGGAAAAGCTGGGCCAGCATGGGCCACCACAGATTCTCTCGACACATCCATCCCATCACAACCGGGAGGCCAAGATTAGAGAGTGGTTACCCAAGGCCATGGAGAAGGCGGAGAGTTCGGATTGTGGGATGACGGGGCGCTATGGTGAGTCTTGCTTGTGTCGGGGGCATTGTGATTTGAGAAATGGGACTGACGCGGTGTACCTAGTTGATCCATTTCATTCGGTGTTTGGTGGGTTTGGACGATTGTGATGTGAGTCAGAGGGTAGGGGAGATGAGTATGCAGCATGTGTGAGTACAGTACAATGGAGGACAGACCAGTGCGGTAACCGTATTTATACTTGTCCATGTGCAGCCTTGAAATGGATAGCATACTCTCAAAGAAAGCAGTACTTGGCCAACCTGTAGCTGGTACTTGGACCGCTGGGGCCATGTTATGTTGTAGCCATGTTTCCTCACACCAACGCGAATATTTGCATGTCTGGCTGTGATGCATTCAGCAATTGATAGCCTTTTGTGATTCTGATTCTGGATTCTGCACGTCTGTTTGTCAAGGTGACTGTGGGCTAGTACCGGGAGTGCCAAGTTTACAGGTGCGCCAAAGGTAGGAGTATGCAATCCCCTCGTCATGCAAGTCAACAGGTAGCCTGACTCGGGCTCTGAAGTGAGGCAGCCAACACGAGTCATGACACGGATGGGAATCTGGTTTGTGACCGCGACAAGTGCCTCGAATGGCGTGCAAAGCTGATGGGAAAAGAAGCTTGCAGATGGGCGCTGGGGTTACCGGTAATAGTCCGGTGTGACAAGACAGCGGTACTCTAATCGTCCGGTATGACAAGAACGGTAACAGACGTGACAGTCACATGCCAAACAACGCCCACGACCAAGTCCAAAGTCCACCACTGGCTCGGATGGTGTCTCCCCGCGGACCAGCCCAAACAGGTTTAGAGTATAGTACTCTACTACTCTAGTACTACTGGTGGCTGATGATGCCGCCCTACCGGATCAAAGCAGTGAACCTAGCTTCCGTTGTCTTTTGTTCGCCATGCACGTTGGGCTCACGTCACCTGTGTTGATGTTGTAGAGTAAGTAGTACCGGTAGTTAGAGTAGCCTGCAGCGCAAGCGTGGACGGGTGATGGACCTGCCCATGCCCTTCTCCATCGTGAGCTTGCTGTGACGGTCGTTCCTCTTCCATGTTGGACTGCAGCCATCTCTCTCCCACCTACCGGCACCGGTCAGTACGGTGTTGATTGGCAACTGCACAACGACTAGATTGGCTGACTTTGGCATGCTTTCACCCGCGCCTTCCCATCTTTTGGCAAAGGAACAGTCGTCACCCACCCTCCAAATCCTTGGGGAAGGAACATCCTGAACAGGGAATCGGCGCTTGAACGGCTGAGGCGCTCTTGCCTTACCGTAGAGTAGCTGGGCATTTACGATCCCAACGCTTTTTCCTTCTCTCCTCCTTCCCTTCTTCCCTTCTTCCCTTGTTTGCTTTTTCTTGCGCAAACCCTCTGCGTGGCAGGCACACGATTCATCCTATGAACTTGCCACTTCTGATAGCAACTCGCTCGATTGCTTTCCATGTAAGCTTCTCGGGCTCTCTCATTTACCTTCACCACTCCCTCCATCCCATTCTACCCTGTCTCCTCCTCGCATTCCATGACCAAACGCACAAACCTCCAGCGACTTCGGGCTCTGTGGCCTAGTTCGCGGCGACCATCTTCAACCACTGACGATATTCTTCTGCTAGTAGACCCATACCCCACCAACTCGTTCCCACCCCTGATAAGATACGCAACAGAGCCTGTAAGCACAGGTAGCCGCCTCCCACCGCTGCCAGTCTTGCCGTCGACCCCGAATCTACCGACCCATGCAATCATGACCGGTGGCAGTACCGGTAACGCCGTCATCGTCTTCTCGCAGCCGGGTGTGCGGCCACCCGTCCATGTCACCACATCGCTGAGTGGCTGGACGGTCCTCGAAATGGACGCAGACAAGACACAGGAGGATTCAGATGAGTTTGTGTTCAAGAAGGAGTTTACCGACGTTGCAGAGGGCACCTACCAATACAAGATTCGCATCGGAGATGACCATTGGGTTCTGGACGAATCGACCGAGTCAGGTAAACTCTCGAATTGCATCTTCCCTTGAAACTACTACTAATACTCTGCAGCCCCCGACGAACATGGCAATCTGAATAATGTGATTCGTGTCCAAGGACAGCCAGCTCCCTCAACAGATTTTCAAGACGAGGAGCATCTGCCTGATGGTCATCTTGAGCCCGTCTCTTTGCCGTCCGATCCTGGCAAGGACGCGGCAGACGCCGAGCCTGACCCGGACGAGGCCAAGGTAGACTCTCCTGTCGATCCTCCGTCGTCAAAGTCTGCAAAAATTCCGCTGTTGGTTGTCGAGAAGACTGATGATGAGCCGGCGCATGGGGACGACTTTGGGGAGCGTGCGACATCTGGTCAAAAGCTGGCTCACCAACAACGAGCTGCCGATGCTTCGCCAGATTGCCTTGTCATAGCAGCTGAGAGCTCGGTATCATCTTCACCCGGCGATGAAGAGGCTACCCCATTGTTTCGCCACGAATCCTTTAAACCCGACGAACGTTCTACAGCTTCCTCCATCGACACTGTTGATGAAGAATCTATCCAATCCTCGACAGATCAGACTAGCTCAGGAAATGTTATAAATACGCCCTCGGAGCCAAATGAATCACAAGATGATGGTGAGCTTGGTAATGGTCCCCTACTGAACCATGAGACTGGTTCTACAAGCCAAATGGATGAGCTCCAGGCGGCCCCATTGTTCTCACACGAAGATGGAAACGACCAAGAAGAGATCAGCGAGCTGGATAAGCCCCCGCTGTTCCCCCATGAGATTGCACTGGATGATGATGACTGTTCCTCGGGCGGTGAAGACGAGCTCGACAAGGCCCCACTGTTGTCTCATGAGACGGGCTTCTCGGATTATAAGAGGAGCGAGATTGTCACTAACGGTGAATACGAAGAGGACGATATGGACGACATGGAGCCTCAGCATTACGGGCCCTACGGCGACGAAGATGACGTACCTCTCCTACCCCATGAACGCGACTCAGCGGTTGTCAGTAAGACTGATTCAGAGGACGACGAGCACTTTTCTTCAAGCCATCAGCCAACTTTTGGGTACGAGACTGACGCTTCACACCAATTGTTTGGAGGAAATCGGATTCCAAATTTCTTCAGGACACGGACAAACAGTAGTACTCTTCCTCACAAGTTGCCGCGGACTGACGAAGACGATGATAATCTGGACGATCCATCATTGGAGCCATTCCCAACGAACCGCGACCAAATCTTCGAGCGGGTCAAGTCCATTGGTCTCCATCTCCCAGAAGATGAACCTACAGATGACCACAGCCACTCGCCACAATTCTCAGTTCTCTCGCAGGCCTGCTCATCAGCTGACCTCGCGCCCGTCAAGTCCTACACCTCACTCGCGTCCGTTCCGGAAGCGGACTGTAGTGACGAAGAGGAAGAAGACGAGGATGTCGAGAGCCTCGCATCACCAATTATGATCGGTGGTGCCTTTACTCGTGCATTTGACAAGGCAGCTGATACAGCGCGTGACGATCTCAAAACGCCCGCAGCAAACGAGAGCAAACAACTTCAACTCCCCGACGCGTTTGAGCCGGAAGTCTCGTCAAGTCCACAAACGACCATGTCCAGTGAGGCAGAGGGTGTGGACAAGACTGATGGCGCAAAGGACACTGTTAGCACCACGGACAAGCTGCAAGATGCCAGTGCACCATCTAGCCTTGCTTCTAATAATGTCTCGGACACCGATACGCCATCGACTTTCCAAGATGGTGAGCCCACCAGCGCTGCCGTAGACTCTGCCACTGCGCCTCTCGACTCCACACTCCGCGAACGTCGCAAAGCCCCGGAGACCAACCCATCACACGCCCAAGACCACATGCACACAGATGCAGAAACACAAGATACTGGTACGGTAACACCCACCACCGCAGGCATGTCTGTTGCGCTACCCCAACCGCAACAACAGTACCCTGCTTCCTTTCTTCAAAACGTCATTCTCACCATTCTAGGTTCTATTGGTCGATTGATCAAGAAATGTGCGGGTGATCGCAGAAAAGCGAGGTGAGAGTTTGCCATGCACGAGTTCTTGACATCCTCTTTTTTGTTTTACATTTGCAAGCTACAGCATATGGGGCCACGGGGATACGAAACCCAGGAAGAGAGAAATTGGAGAAGATGGAGGGTGGTAGGTGTGGCTTGCACATGTTGCATACCCCCTATGTACTCCTTTCTCACCCTTTCTTGTTTTTTTCCTATTTTTTTTGGATTTTCCCTCTTTTCCTATTCCATAATCAGCTTCACCAACCCGGACAATATGGCCTTGACGACGTCATATGACCAGCATAACGGAAACCTGCTAATGCCATAGCTTCCCAGTGTCTCTGCGATTTTAGCCTGTGGTGCGGTGGTGACAGCATGCTGGATTCTGTTCAAGGCATGAGTGCATAGCCATGCCATGTTGTGTTGTTACATTGGAGCGCCGAACGATGAAGGCTCGACATGCCAGTTGTAGGCTGGTGGAATCCGTGCAAATGTGCACGCATGAGCAAGATGGCATGGGATATGACATGACGAGATACGATTCGATGCGATGGCATGTGGCTACGGCATAATGACTTTTTTTGCGTCTAGAGTCGAGTCTGGGTTTGGGATGGGGGTCACTTGGGGCAGAGACAGCGCTTCGGCGTGTTTTGGGGCAAAGATGGGTGTTTGGGACTCTTTATCCTTTTCTTTTGGTGACTTGTTTACCTCAGTATACCTAGGTACCGTCAGATTATTCTTACTGGCAGGTTCTTTTTTTTTTGGTTTTTCAGAGATTTGATTGTGGTGGTGAGAGGAGTGGTGTTGATTTGGCGGTTGGTTGTGCTTTTGCGTGTTTGTGTATGAAGAAGTATGAAGCTAAGATGTTGAAATCATGCCTGCTATTTCCGATCTTCATCACCACCATATCATATCCCCTTCGCCAACCCACCCCCTATCCTCAACGGCAACCCTCACCGCCTAACAAACAAACAAAACTCAAACCGGACCCCCCCTTCCTCCACCACCTCGCCCTCGCCCTCACCCACCTCCTCGCCCACAAAATCCTCAAACTCCCGCCTCCCCGCCCTCCGCCACAACGCACTCTTCTCCACATCCTCGCTCAGATACGTGTCGCACGCAAACTCGGCGTGGATCTTGGTCAGCAGGATGTGTGTGGTACAGGGCAGGGCGAGGGCGGCAGTGTATAGAGACGCGCCGCCGATGAGGAAGGTTTTGTGGATGAGGGGGGTGGGGGGCGAGCAAGGGGCCGAGGGGGTGTAAAGGTGGGCGAGGGCGGAGTGGAGGCTTGGATGGGAGATGGGGCCTTCGTTTTGGCCTCGAGAGCGAGGTGAGGCAGACGACGCAGCGAGACGGCGGGTAAAACCGGGCACGTCCCTCGTCACAACGAGATTGAGCCTGTCCTTTAACGGGCGGAATGTCGTCGGTATACTGTCCCACGTCTTGCGACCCATTATGACGGCGTTGATGGGGGGTTGTGTGGTACTGCCTGCATTACTGCTGCTGCTGCTGCCACCAACCCGCCGCGTGACACGCGCAAAATACGCCATTTCTTTGCGCAGCATTGGCCATGGTAGACCGCCGTTCATGCCGATGCCGAGAGAGGGTGTGGCGGCGAGGATGAGGATGAGGCCTGGTTGGGGGGGCATTGCTTCTGTTGTTGTTGTTGTTGTTGTTGTTTCGGAAATCAAAGGTGCAGGCGCAGTTGCATGTCCATCTTCCGCTTCAACCGGTCCAGTCTGAAGGTTCGCAGTCGTCTCCCGCTCAGCGTGCGTACTCGACACTTCCACGGTGCTGCGACACATGACCCCGGCGTCCTGTGCCACGGCTCCGAGATTTCTCGTCTGCGTGCAAAGCGGCGGCGTGTTTTTGTCCTCGTAAGCTGTGTGTGGGCTACGGCAGTTGGACGTACCTAGTCCTTGGCCGTTCTTTGTACCGTCCCGTCCCGTGCATCGGATAGGTAACCGTAGCCGGGGCGCGCGTGCAAGGAGAAGCAAAACGGGCCAGCTTGACAAAACTCTACAGGATTCAAATCCCACTTGTCTCATTCAACATCTCAAACCTCGTGGGCTGGCATACACCATCATCCCATAACCTCACACCCAATCCGAACGAAACCAACCCTTTAAACCCAAACCCAAACCCAAACCCAAACTACTCTCCAAACCACACCGCAAGCCTCCCCCGCGCCAACAAAGAAAATCGCGCTAGAGACGCGAACGCGAAGAAACGTGATACGCCTTGTTACCGTACCCTGCAGCAGATCGATCGGCCGGTTGCGGTGGAAACCCGGGTTTGGGGTTTGCTTGGGGTAGATCAACTGGCATGCATGGGACGCATCGCACCGCATCGCACCGCACGCTTATCTTCCTTTGAACTCGCGTCGCAGGCTTTGGCTCGGTTTGGATGGGTGCTGCGGGTGTGGGTGTGGGTGTGGGTACGGGTACGGGTACGGGTACGGGTACAGGTATGGTATGGAATGGAATGGTAGGGCTACGCGAGGCTGAGGCTGTAGCGAGCTGTGGTGTAGTGTAGTGTGTGATGACTACTTGGAGACTATTATACATCATAGTCATCTACCCCGGCGCAGGAATATTTGTGTATGGGGCAAGAGTGTAAAAGACTACACCAGGGTACCATACAACAACAAAATCTCCAGGGTTCAGCATCGCATTCATCACCCGTACACAGCACACACATCAAAAACACCCCAATCTCACACATCAAAACGAAGCTCTACCATTGCTTGCCACGCTGGCCATGCATCAGGAAATCCCACGGACACCTTCTTCCACGCGTCAACGCTAGTACGAGTACAAACGACGTCGAAACAGGCCATGTCGTGCACGCCCGCAGCAGCAGGCCCGTCTTGTCGAGAATAGCCTGGGCGAAAGATGGAAAAAGAGAGGAGCAAGGAAGTGAGAGAGGGGGAGGGGAAGAAGAAAGAAGAAAGAAGAAAAGGAAAACGAAGCAGAAAGCCTCCCACCCTGCTACACACCAACCTGCGCCGCTATCCCCACAATCCATTCCCTCCCTTTCCTTTCCCTTTCCCTTTCCCAGACACGACGACGCCCACGCCCAAGCCCAAAACCCAGCAGATGGAACAAACCCAAAGAGGCAAATCTGCTGATGACTGCAAGGGAAAAAAACGCCGGAAAAAAGTACACCGTTCCCAATGCCGCTGCAGTAGGAGAGTTATAGTCCCATGAATCCAAGGTAAGCCCCGTCATCGGTCCTGGATTGTTTTCTTCATACAACGTTTATCTTGTTTTGTGCAAGTGTGATGTAGAGGTGTGAGTGTGTGTATGCGAGTGTGTGTGCGAGTGTGTGTGCGAGTGTGTGTGCGAGTGTGTGTGCGAGTGTGTGTGCGAGTGTGTGTGCGAGTGTGTGTGCGAGTGTGTGTGCGAGTGTGTGTGCGAGTGTGTGTGCGAGTGTGTGTGCGAGTGTGTGTGCGAGTGTGTGTGCGAGTGTGTGTGCGAGTGTGTGTGTGCGAGTGTGTGTATGTGTGCGAGTTTGTGTGTGTGCGCCCCCAGGCTTTCCAGTTGGGTATCTTTTTGTACGCGCAGCAGAAAAATACAAAGCTGACGTGCGACTTTTCCTTCTACCATCCACGGCCCTTTCCGCGAATCGACTGCCTTGCCTCTTCCTTTTCTTCCATCCTCGTCTTCAAGCCAAAGACGACTTCTTACCTGGCGACTGTGGTGGTGACCGGTACTATTCGCCTTCACCATTGTCGCCAACGCTCTTCAGCGGTATGGGCAAAATCTTCTTGGGCCCGCCTCCCCCGTCCTTGCCCGAGTTGACGTTTGGTGATTTCCTCCGCAGGCTCCGTAGGCTGCCTGCACTGGTGTTGCTGGCTGTCGAGGCACGACGTTTAGGTCCTGCAGAGGTGGAAATGCTGGCGAGTAGCTCGTCCTCTTCGTCCTCTTCTCGCCGTCGCTTCTCGGATATGCGCTCAGGAGGCGAGCTTGCCGAGGCAGATTTTGGTGATGTGTTGTCGTCCTTGGTCTGTGTGGACATGGACATCTTGTGCGCGGACTCGGGCATCTCCGCCGTGAGTATGTCCATATCGTCATCATCCGCATCGTCATCTGGATAGTTGACCAGTGGTCGCACAGGCGAGGCGCCGTTCAGTATCGACTTTGGAGCCCCACCAATAGGCTCATCCTCGTCGTCGGATGTGTTAAAGTATGCCTCTTCATCTGCATCCACGTCCTTGAGCGCCTGTCCCCACTTGCCGCCATTCATAGCTGCGGCATGTCGTACAGGCGTGTCGCTGTCAACACTGGTAAAGGAGTGGTCGAGTTCCTGCGTCGTGACAGGCTCGTGCATCTGGTCGTATCGCAGTATGAGATTTTGAAAGGTGTCGACATAGGTGATGGCCTGCAGTTTCTCGCGATACGTCTCCACGAGATGTTGGACAATCATCTTGATGTTCTCCCGCTTGATGAATTCGAATAATTCCAGGCAGGCCGAGTTGAGCAGATTGTCTCGAGGCATGGTCTCGAACAAGACCTTCAAAATCGGCTCAAACAGTCGATGTTGCACAATCTGGCGATTGTGCGTCTCGTCATGGAAGCCAATAACAGTGCGGAAGTATTTGAGTGCGGCTGTGGCCGGTCAGCAAGGGAACCTGATTTGGAGAATGCACCAATACTCACTCAGCTTGAGATGTTTCTCAGGGCAGGCCATGAGCTGCGCAACACGCACCGCTAGGCCTTCTGAGAGAATAAAGTATTTACTTCGAAAAGAGTGCTGCCGTATGAAGAAACACAAGACTTCGACCAAGTGCGCGTAGAGGGAGACTTCTTGCATGGAGAGATTGTCCACTGTGACTGGTTAGCCTGGCCGTGGGCAGAGCACTGGACGTTGAGCTTACTAGAGTCCCGCCCTTCAAGATCCTTGAGCGGCTGGAAAAGCTTTCTGGCGGATTCGTCGTAGAAGTTTTGGATAAAAGAATCTGTTTGAGGAATGGAGGGTAGCTGCGTCCTCATCTTGGCCATGAATTCACTGTTGCTACGTCCGAGCGCTTCAATCGAGGCCGAGTTGGCATTGGGGTCCAACAAAATCTTGATCGCATCAGCCATCTGGGCCTTGACTCCGAGGTCTACTTCAATCAAGAGCAATTCAATCAGCGTGTCGGTCAGGGGTTTGGACTTTTCTTGAATCGCCTTGAAGATGTAGCTGCGCACCATGAGCGCATCATGGTCTATAAGAGAGACCAGAATGTCGGTTCCTGCTACGCGGACTGAAGCATCGTGGTGCTTGAGCGCAAACTGTATGACTTCCAAAAGCCCATGGCTAATGAAGTTTTGGTATAGCTGGGTTCGACCACCAGCCTGCAAGCTCTTGGCTATCGCACAGCACTGTTGGATGAACAGCACCGCGTCCTTCTTGCGTGCTAAGCTGCGTTCTTTCGGCCCAAAGATGGCAAAGAGCTCCTTCAAGAAATGGTCGTTTGCCTGGAGGTGCTGCACAATGTCGACTTGGTGGAAGAATATGAGCGAGTTGAGAACCGAAAACGTAGGGTCATCGAGAATGCGGGCGAGGACGACGTCTTTGAGATATTGAAGCCGATACGTGTAGTGGATCTTTTGCTTGATGTTTGCATCCTCGATCCGGACTACTTCTTTGAACTTGGATTCATCCGCGAGGTACTGTCGATGATTGGCTTTGTGTAGCGGAAAGTCGGGGTCGTCTGTCATGGGAATCAGCAAGAATGGCCATGGGCCGCAGCACAGAAGCCTGGCACTCACATTCCAAAGCGCCCACAACGCCTAGAATGATGGGGTCCGTGACGACGTATTCCACAATGGCAGAGTCGTTGAGCAGTATGAGCATCTTCATGATGCTGCACAGGCGATGCAGGTCGGAGACGCTCTCGAGATCCTCGGCCATTTCCACGAGGGGAATCAGCTTGGGTATGTAGTGCTGATTGAGAATGAATTTGGCCAGCGCTTCACGACCGCCCGGTGTCGAATTGGCTGCGCGCATGTGGTTTTCGATTTCGTGAAGGTTGCCCAGGTCGGGATTGGGAAGGAGTATGGGGCTGGCTTGGTCGAGTTCGTCTGAGAGACCATCTTCTGCGTCGGCATTAGCTTCCCGAGAGTGGCGAGCACCCATTGGACGTACCCTGTGCGAGCGACTGCAATTGAGACTGAATGTTGTTGACAAAGTCCCTGTCGCGTGTCAGCGCATGTGGTCAAACGGGCCTAGGACGTTGCGCGGCTCTGCTCACCAAATGTTCGCACAGCCCTCTGGCTCTTGGAAACTGAGGGCCATGTCAATGCCATTGTGCTCGGTCCACACAATGAGCGTGTCTGCGCCGTGTTAGCGACTGCGCTCGGCCCAGGTGGCAGCATGCGCTCGTACCCTGCTGCTTCTGGTAGCCATCGTCCTTGGAGATGCGCGTCTCGAGCAGTTGGCGCGACTGGTCGTCTTCCGAGGTCACGATGATGCGTGCATCCTCGTTCTGCGGGCGGTCACACACGCACACACGTTAGCCTTGGATCAGGGTCCGCAGATGCAGACAGGCGCTGACGGAGCACGACAGGGCGCAAAAATTCTGCGGGGCGGGGGACGACGTACGGATTTGATCTCGCCGCGGCAGAAACCAGTGCCGCGGTCAAACCAGTCGTTGTTCCTGAGCTCGTAGACTTTGACGCGTTTTCGTTCGTTCACGGGAGGCGGGCCTGATGATGCGGACATGGAGGCGACAGCCGAGACAGCACTCCGGAGGGATCACTGGCCCTGGCCGGAGTGAGGCAAGCTGTTTGCGACGGATGCGCGACGTCTGCCTGGGCTGGTCGAGGATCGGGCACCGGGAGTGAGGGGTGAGGGGGATGGGGGGGGAGGGGGGAGGTGATGGGCGATGCGGGCGGGCCGTTGCGATGCGCGCTTCACAATGACGAGGCTGGGAGCGGCGGCGGCGGTGGCTACGGCAACGACAACGACGACCTGGCAGGCAGCGGTGGGGTGGGGGGTTGTGTCAGATTACGGGTGGCCCGTCAGCGCACGAGACAAGACACTGCCGCGCCCAAGGTCCCTTTGGGGTTGGGAGGTGCGCTGTGCTGGGGGGGGGGGGGGGGGAAGAAGGGCACTAACTCGATCGGCGCACCGATAAGATAGTGAAAAAGGGACTCGCTAAGAGGAAGTGGAGAGAGAGAGAGAGAGAGAGAGAGAGAGACAGAGAGACAGACAGAGAGACAGAGAGAGAGAGCCATCAGCGACCAATCACAATCCTGGATTTGGGGGAGAAGCCTGGACCGCGGGCAAGTGTGGCAGCCCAGCGCAGGTCCAGAGCCGCAATAGGTTATGCACGACTTGAGTGGCAGAGTAGAGTGTGATCAGATGTGGTAGCGGTGTATGTATGTATTGCGTCCATCTGCCTGCACGACTGGACCGTGGATGGACAGTGGACGGATGGCGGAATGGCGGGAAATGGTCCTGTGCAGATGAGCACTGCCTATGTAGAGTAACAATGTCGATGGGAAACAAGAGTCGAGTGTGGAGTTGGTAAGTGTGAAAGAGTACGTAGAGTACAGTCTGTCTGTTTCGCACGGCTGTCTGGTACGGTATTGGCTGGGCACTACTAGGTCCTTGGGCCTGCAATGACGCGCCAGAACGCTCCTGCGCCGGAGATGAGATGATCTGGAGTATAATACAACATACAAGACACATTGTCTGTATAATACAATCCACACTGTCTGTATAATACAATCCACACTGTCTGTATAATGCAATCCACATTGTCCTGTACTATCCTACCTACTCTCCTCCACACTGCTGGTCCATCACTGACGCCATCTAGTCTTGGCGCCCCTTCCACATGTCAGCCCTCACTCGCATCGCACCTGCCCTTGCATCCCCGTCACGTGACCGTCTCGTTTCCCACCTCGCCCATCTACTGTGCCTCCTACTACTACTACTACTACTACTACTACTACTACTACTACTACTACTACTACCTACTTACCAAGGTATCATACTCTAGATGCTCTACCGTAAATGCCTACAGCACCCTCACCCTCACCCGTCCACTGTCCACATCCCCCCTCGTCCCAGCCCTCATTCCACCTAGTAGCACTACCAGCTACCATGAGCAAAGACGCCATGCCATCCATCAAACAGCGCCTGTCAACTGGCTCGCCTGCTGCTCCAACCAACTGCCGACGATACTGTGTGGCCATGGTCCCAACACTGCCATGGCTGCATCGTCGCTAGCACGAGCACGCATCAATCTGCTGCTTTGAATCCAATAACTACCTGTCCCAGTGTCGCACAGCTCTCGCTTGACGCTGCAGCCAAGTCCTACCACAATCAATCTACTCATCAACCTTGAAAGCCACACAATCAACCTGAATCTTTTCTGGTCGTGAAAGCAATACGCTCCTCTGCGACTGCTGACGAGAAGAAAGATGGGCTTTGGTACAGGGAACATGGCTTTTACACCATAGTACACCCCACTCCGAACCAGAGGCACGGACATGTCTCCCTTTTTTTTTCAACCTCGCCTGGCTGGCCTGTTACCAAGTATAGATGCCCCTAATGCATGGACTCTGCGCCTTCTGAACCTAGACTGTCATGCTTATGGACGGGACAATCTTCCGCACATCTATCGCGAGAGCTAGCTGAAATGGGCAGAACATCCCACGCCTCGACGCCGCACACATCGACCTTTGATATCCAATTTCAACATTCGGCATGCGGGACCACGCAGGCATCCCTGATGCGGCCCGGCTGGCTAATCTCTACACGGCCGCTAAGCCTGCTTTGGGCATCTGTATCGATCGTCTGCGACTTCCTTAGCGTCCTCACAGCCTGGCTGCAGCTCAAACACACAGCTGCTCCACTTAGGCCTCTGATAACGACGGTGCACCGACGGGGGGTCACGCTAGGTAAGCGTTGTATCTATCTGTTGACTTCTTCTTTCGATTAAAGACCATCTTCGTCTCCCAGGAGCCCGGCTCGTCTCATCTGCCCTGGATTCCTGCCGCTATATCTACTACACCCCATATCAATAACAAAACCCACGACATGGCACAAACGCTGCTTCAACCCCAGGGACGAGCCACCGCACTAGACACCCTTGCAAATTCTACTGGTGGTCTCCCTACATCCGAAGAACCCAAATCACGTAGCGTGAGCGCTCAGGAGTTGCAGGCCAGAATCAAAGCAGCCAGGAAGAAGAAGACGACATTTCTCTCCCCACCTACGTTAGCACTCCTCAATCCTCGTCAGCCTCGTGAAACAAACGATGCGTTACTCCGTCCAAATGTGACCTCATCGGAACAATATCGGCCCTCCGTTGGAGAATATACCAAAAGTCATGCCGTCGTAGAACAGGTACTGCCCGCAGAAACAAGACAGCCAAATTCAAGGACTCGACACGGCCAATCAGTCCCCATCAGCCACATGTCGCAGCCGCACGGCGGTGTTCTCATAAACGAATCTCCTTCTTTTCATCGCCCGCAAGCGAACCGTACAGCAAGTAGCAGGTCATCCATGATTGCCCGAAAGAGTCCCCTTTCGACAGTATCCCTACCCCAAGGTAAGTCGCTTCCCAAGAAGAGCAACACTTCCATCACGGATCCCCAGGAAGAGTCCTTTGACGTATCACAAACCGAATTCTATACTCCATCCTCCCGTACATCTACCACCTCCTTTTGCTCCACACACTAACGATACTTTAGACTCCTCTTCATCGAACGAAACCCTCTACAGCAAACCAAACAAAGTCATGAGCTCGCCGATAGCATACGAACGATCAACTGAGCAGCGCAATAGCACTGTAGGCAGCGTCACTCCACTGCCCCCTCAGCCTCGCAGCAAGAGCAGACTGAGCTGGCTGGGCCTCACGCGAAGGAGTCGTGTCAGCGCTGTTTAGACGAGTGCAATACGAATGAACGAATCTCCTAGAGCATATACACATTGTCATCACGGCGCTGGAATAGTCATTCACACACAGGCATCTAGAGTATACTCGGGCATCATGGAAATCATGGGGTTCATAATAGACTCTCGCTCACAATGAAAACGCAATGCCATCTGATGTCATCATGTGCAACTAGTGCATCCTGCAGAAGATTGCACGGTGCGGCTCGAGCAGAGCGGAATCGAAAGCAAGCTAAGCATGGACCCTGCATGTCGACTCTCGAGTAAGTTGGCGGCCTTCCTCGGCAACTTTGACGTATCCCGCAGCTACTACCGGTACTATCGATAAGCCCCAAGCCTCATCCATCTCCAAACAAAGCCACCATCCCTCACAACCCCAAACCAGCCACCCCCCCCTCCCCCAAACACACCATGAACCCCTCCGACCGCACAAAAGAAAGCCTCCTCAGTACGCATCCCACCCCACCCCCACAAACACTCACCCCCCATCCCATCCCATCCCATCCAAACCCACCCTAACCAAAACCCTGCCAGACAAGACCGAAAACCTCTGCAACGCCATCATCGATATTCGCAACCCGGACCCCTGGGGCGGCTCCGGCTACCTCAGCACCATCCTGCGCCTTGCTAAACTCGCAGACGCGAGCGCGTACAGCAATGTCGAGGCGCTGGAGCCGGGGATCGATTATGCGACGAGTGCGGGGCGGGAACTGGGGATTAGGGAGCAGGCGGCTGGGGTGGTATGTGTAGATTTTTCTGACGTTTGTGGTTTATTTGATTTGGATTGGTTTTGGGGGGCCCGGCAGAAGCGCGACCATGTATTGTTGGCGACCATTGGCTGGAGTGGCTAACAACTTGTGTGTGCAACAGATCAAGACGGCGCAGGATTTGTCGACGCTGATACGCGATTTGCAGGAGTTGTGGCTGTTTGGGGGGTTGGATACGTTGAGTGGGGAGCGGGATGGGGAGGAGGCGAAGAAAAAGGCGGTGGAGGTTGCGGAGATGATGGAGGGGTTGGCGAGGAGGGGGAGGATACAGCACGGGGACAAGGAGGAGGACAAGAAGAATGGGGTACGGCAAGCTGGTGGTGGAGAGGTGGAAAAGATGTGAGGGGCTGGCAGGAGGCAGAGGCAGGGAAAAAGGATACAAGGATGGAATATAATACCCCCGATGGATGATTATCACAGAATCCACCTAACCCTACACACCCCACCAAACACAACACCCACACTACCTCTCCCTCCCTCCCTCCACCCCCTACCCAACCACCAACCCCCACGCAACCACCAAACTCGCCCCAACAAGCCCGAAATGCGCCAACAACCACCCCGCCCCACAATAGAAAGTAGTGTACTCCTCTAAGTTAGGGTCTATTTAGATCTTATTAAAGGTAGTATAAATATCTAATTTTATAAAGATTTTTACTTTAGCTAGCTAGGATAAAAGATTATCTATATAGTGTATTAGATAACGCGTCCTTTTGCCTTAAGCTGT